TTTATATTTTATTTATATAATTTTTATTGTATTATTTTATTTATATATATATATATATAGTTTTTTTTTTTCAATTTTAGGTTTGTGATTTTTTTGTTGTTGCATTAAATACATGTTTTTAAATTTTTCTTAAAGTGATCTAATATCTATATTGTATTTTAAAGCAATTTAAATAAGTGTAAAGCAATTTAAAGCTTTTTTTCAATTAATAAAAAGATTTGTAAGTTTTATGACTTAATGATATGATTTTTGGACATTTTTCGCACATGGTCGCACTCTTATTTTCTTTAGAAAATGTAAAAATCTAGTCATTGACTTGTTCTGTGGTCTTCTCATTATGTAATATCTCAGCGTGGTAATCACAGTTCCCCTTCAAATGAAGCTAAAACTAGCTGACACAGACTTTGGCCGACTTTTGGCTCCAGTGTGCCACCATTACATTTCAAACGGGTGGAAATAGAAACTGATGTGGAAAAGAAAAGCATTAAGAAATGTCTTTGCGGGAGTCGTCTCTAACCGTTGAGACATGTAGGCAAGTCCGTTCTCTCCCCTCTGTGCCGCACAACCTGTAATTAGCACAAATTGCTGGCTCCTTAAGTTGTTCTTCCGAACATCAACAAGCCATTTTTGTCCTCTGATTCTTTGGCACCCATAATTCCTTTTTCCATCTCCGTAGACTCTGCTGAGTCGGACACCACAAAGTACTTCAGACCCAGCGTGATGCAGATACAGACAGACAGACAGAGATCTAGTGATCATGACTCAGGTTCATTCTTCAGTGGCTCTTTAAAGCACCTTCGGTTCAGATAGATGGTCCAAAACCATCTTTCACTGCATCCATCCGTATTTTCTCTTGTTTTCATGTAAAAATATCTCAACCCTTTGATGCAACAATTATAAAATTACTGAATTTTTTTAAAGAATTAAGTTACCGTTTTAAGAGTTAAAAATGGTATTTATTTATTTTTCTTTACACTTCTTCATCTTTTTACTTTTATTTACAGATGTATTCTTTTTTTTTTGTATTAAGAATAAAATAATTCCCAGTCTTTTCTTCCTGTTATTTTTTGAGCGAATTATACATCTGTTTTCTTCAACTTTTTACTTTTTTATTAAGAATGTAATTATCACATTCTTTTTTTTAGATTTTTTTCTTTTTAATTGTATTATTTTGTGAAAGTTAAACACGCATTTACTTTACTGTTTTGTTTTTAATTATTGAGAATTTATTTATTTGTTCACTGTTTATTTTTAATTAATTTAAAATCAATTTAATATTCATAATCTTTGATTTTTTTGTTATTATTATTTTTTTTTTACTTTTAATTTTATGGAGTTCCACACTTGTCTACTTTGTCTTTTTGTCATTTTTTATTATGAATATGGCAGAAATGCTAGTCTTGGAAATGCCAGTCTTTTTATTATAATTTTGAAACAATTATACATCTTTTTACTTTTTATTAGGAATGTGATTATTTTTTTATTATTATTTATTTATTTACTTACTTATTTTTTTCGGATGTTAACCATCCATTTATTTCAGTGTTTTTACTTTTCAGGAATATAAGTATTCCCACTCTTTTTTTCAAATTTTTTTATTTGGATAAAGTGAAACATTTGTTTATTTAATCATTCCAAAGAATATAATAAAGAATGTAATCGTTCCCAAACTGTATTTTCCTTGAAAGGTTTTATTTTGAGAGTTTCCCACATCTATTTACAATAGCGGATAGTGTAGGTATCGTAGAGCTACTTAATGAATCACAACTTGTTGTATTTATTTTAAAAAAGAGAGCACAATGACATCTGAAGAGGAGAGTTTGGAGAGGAAAGTTTTCAAATGTGCAGATCTCACATGGCATTTGTCTTCACATACATATGTATGTTTCAGGCCTAAATCACATCTTTGTCATGCAAGACTGAAGATGAATCATTATGATCCTAGTGTGGCTTTCCCTCTTTCAGAACAAATGGACAAACCCCAAAGCCGTAGCGTTTGCCAGAAGAAAAAAACATTCATAGTTACGGCACTGCTGCTTTGCCATTCATAAACTCACTGACCTTAAGAACAATACAGTTATTTTAAACCTCTCCCATCACTACCCATCATTCTTCAATAATACATGCATCTACATCCCTTCCAATGTTTTTGGGAAGTAAACGCAAGCCTGCCCCAGAGCCAGAACTGAGCTTGTGTGGTCGTATGGTGAAGACATCTGTGCCTTTATGAGACCCTGCTGTCTGTTCCTGGGTCAGGTAATGGAGCATGAAAGTTCCCATAGGAAAGACAAGTGACAAATGATTTCTCTCTATACTATCTGAATGGTTTCTCCTAGACAATACTGAGATGAAATTGAGATCAAATAATGCTACTCTGATCTTTCTTCTGAGGAAAAGATTTCAGTCTGAGGAGAGGTTTGTTCTGAAAGCTATGGAAGCTTAATTTCAGTACGGAATACAAAAATTAAAACAAATATTTGTGACTTTATTTCTCACAATATCAACTTTGTTTTCCCTTAGTTCTAAGAACAAGTCAGAATTGTGAGACATAAACTAAAAATGGTTAGATATAAACTCAGAATTGTGAGATATAAAGTTGTAATTACAATGTTTGAACAATTTCTGTGGCGAAAAAAAAAAATTATTTAAAGAGATTTAAACTCGGAATTCCGAGAGTCAAAATTGCGAGATGTAAACTTATGATTATGAGTTTAGAACTTGCAAATGCACAAGTCTGATTTGTCAAATATAAATTCACATTTTGAGAAAAGAAACAACAGAATAGTGAGATAAAAAGTCACAATTACCTTTTTTTTTTTTTACTCTGTTGCATAAAAAAATAATCGCTCGATTTAAAGGGTTAGTTCACCCAAAAATGGAAATTCTGTCATTAATTACTCACCCTCGTGTTGTTACAAACCCGTAAGACCTTCATTCATCTTCGGAACACAATTTAAGATATTTTTGATGAAATCTGAGGGCTCTCTGGCCCTCCCATAGATAGCAAGGTAACTACCACGTTCAAGGTCCAGAAAAGTACCAAGATGATCGACAAAGTAGTCCGTGTGACATCAGTGGTTCAACTGTAAAGTTATGAAGCTACGAGAATATTTTGTGCAAAGAAAACAAAAATAACAACTTTATTCCACATTTTCGTCTGCGTCACTTGTGAACGCGTGTACCATGACGCGAGCGACCATGACAACGTCATCATGCCGGATCTGGGTCAGCGCCGGCGCCACCACACACTCGCGTCATGGTACTGTCGTGAACGTGCGTCCAAAGTGACGCAGTATACTCTTAAAAATAAAGGTGCTTCAAAAGGTTCTTCACAGCGATGCCATAGAAGAACCATTTTTGGTTCCACAAAGAAGCATTCAGTCAAAGGTTCTTTAAAGAACCATCTCTTTCTTACCTTTTTATAATCTGAAGAACCTTCTTTCACCACAAAGAACCTTTTGTGAAACAGAAAGGTTCTTCAGATGTTAAAGCTTCTTTATGGAACCATTTAGACAAAAAGGTTCTTCTATGGCATCGTGAAGCACCTTTATTTTTAAGAGTGTAGAGACGAAAATGTGGAACTACTAAAATGTGTCACACTACTACTTTGTCGATCATCTTGGTACTTTTCTGGACCTTGAACGTGGTAGTTACCTTGCTGTCTATGGGAGGGTCAGAGAGCCCTCAGATTTCATCAAAAACATCTTAAATTGTGTTCCGAAGATGAACGAAGGTTTTACGAGTTTGGAACAACACGAGGGTGAGTAATTAATGACAGAATTTAGTTTTTTGGGTGAACTAACCCTTTAAACTCTGAACTCTGAGAAAAAAGTCAAAATTGCTAAATGTAAACTTGTAATTACAGGTTTAGAACTTGTAATTGTGAGATATAATCTCGCAATTCTAAAAAGAGAGAAGAAGAGTAGGAATTGTGAGATAAAATTCACAATTATGATTTTTTTTTATTCAGTGGCAGAAACAAAAACAAAAAGTCAAAAATGCGAGTTGTAAACATGAATTAATCAGAAAAAAGTCAGAACTGTGAGGTAAAAAAAATCACAAATACCTTTTTTAATTTTGTTTATTCTGTGGAGGAAAAAATGTCCGAATTGCGAGATGCAAACTAAGAATTACTAGTTTTATAATTTGCAATTATGAGATAAAAGCTTGCAATTCTGAGGAAAAAGCTCAGAATTGTGAGATTGAAAAAAATCGCAATTATGTTTTAATATTTTTATTTGCTGACAGAAATGACTTTCCATAGAAATCCAAAGTGAGAGTAAACGCACTAATTTCTTCAGTCCAGATCTACTCTTTCTGAACACTCTTAAAAATAAAGGTGCTTCACGATGCCATAGAAGAACCTTTTTATCTAAATGGTTCCATAAAGAACCTTTAACATCTGAAGAACCTTTCTGTTTCACAAAAGCTTCTTTGTGGCGAAAGAAGGTTCTTCAGATTACAAAAAGGTAAGAAAGAGATGGTTCTTTAAAGAACTTTGACTGAATGCTTCTTTGTGGAACCAAAAATGCTTCTTCTATGGCATCGCTTGAAGAACCTTTTAAGCACCTTTATTTTTAAGAGTGTACATCAACTATTGATTCATTTGTGTCTCATTTTTGTCTCCCCAAAAGAAATGTTAGAAGAGAAAGCAGAAACAAACTTGATTCTTAAATTAATCATAATAGTAATTCTCTTGACTCTGAGAAATACAGTATGTCCTATTGATTCATTTGTGTCTCATTTTTGTCTCCCCAAAAGAAATGTTAGAAGAGAAAGCAGAAACAAACTTGATTCTTAAATGAATCATAATAGTAATTCTCTTGACTCTGAGAAATACAGTATGTCCTGGGTGTGGTACTGTGCTATCTTGCGTGATTCAAGCTTTCCTCGTTTCTTCTAAGCATCTGTATCTCCTCTGTCTGTGTGTGTGTGTGTGTGTGTGTGTGTGTGTGTGTTTTTGTGTGTGTGTGTGTGTGTGTGTGTGTGTGTGTGTGCAGTTGGGACGAGAGCAGCTCCATCAGCAGCGGTTTGAGTGATGGTTCAGAGGAACTCAACGCCAGCTCATCTCTCAACTCCCTCCCCAGCACACCTGTCGGCTCGCGACGCAACTCCTCCGTCATGGTAAGCAGCGCAGACCAGTTTTGTGTGGATCAGGGTTTTGTGCACTGAAAGGTTTGGGTCTTGTTTTTGAACGTTGCTTGTTTGGATTTAGTAGAACTTGGCATATATATACAGTGGGGCAAAAAAGTATTTAGTCAGCCACCAATTGTGCAAGTTCTCCCACTTAAAAAGATGAGAGAGGCCTGTAATTTTCATCATAGGTATACCTCAACTATGAGAGACAAAATGAGAAAAAAAAATCCAGAAAATCACATTGTAGGATTTTTAAAGAATTAATTGGTAAATTCCTCAGTAAAATAAGTATTTGGTCACCTACAAACAAGCAAGATTTCTGGCTCTCACAGACCTGTAACAACTTCTTTAAGAGGCTCCTCTGTCCTCCACTCATTACCTGTATTAATGGCATCTGTTTGAACTCATTATCAGTATAAAAGACACCTGTCCAAAACCTCAAACAGTCACACTCCAAACTCCACCATGGCCAAGACCAAAGAGCTGTCAAAGGACACCAGAAACAAAATTGCAGACCTGCACCAGGCTGGGAAGACTGAATCTGCAATAGGTAAGCAGCTTGGTGTGAAGAAATCAACCGTGGGAGCAATTATTAGAAAATGGAAGACATACAAGACCACTGATAATCTCCCTCGATCTGGGGCTCCACACAAGATCTCACCCCGTGGGGTCAAAATGATCACAAGAACTGTGAGCAAAAATCCCACAACCACACGGGGGGACCTAGTGAATGACCTGCAGAGAGCTGGGACCAAAGTAACAAAGGCTACCATCAGTAACACACTGCGCCGCCAGGGACTCAAATCCAGACGTGTCCCCCTGCTTAAGCCAGTACATGTCCAGGCCCGTCTGAAGTTTGCTAGAGAGCATTTGGATGATCCAGAAGAGAATTGGGAGAATGTCATATGGTCAGATGAAACCAAAATAAAACTTTTTGGTAAAAACTCAACTTGACCAGAAGAGGATTGGGAGAATGTCATATGGTCAGATGAAACCAAAATAGAACGTTTTGGTAAAAACTCAACTTGTCGTATTTGGAGGAGAAAGAATGCCGAGTTGCATCCAAAGAACACCATACCTACTGTGAAGCATGGGGGTGGAAACATCATGCTTTGGGGCTGTTTTTCTGCAAAGGGACCAGGACGACTGATCCATGTAAACGAAAGAATGAATGGGGCCATATATCGTGAGATTTTGAGTGAAAACCTCCTTCCATCAGCAAGGGCATTGAAGATGAAACGTGGCTGGGTCTTTCAGCATGACAATGATCCCAAACACACCACCCGGGCAACGAAGGAGTGGCTTCGTAAGAAGCATTTCAAGGCCCTGGAGTGGCCTAGCCAGTCTCCAGATCTCAACCCCATAGAAAATCTTTGGAGGGAGTTGAAAATCCGTGTTGCCCAGCGACAGCCCCAAAACATTACTGCTCTAGAGGAGATCTGCATGGAGGAATGGGCCAAAATACCAGCAACAGTGTGTGAAAACCTTGTGAAGACTTACAGAAAAAGTTTGACCTCTGTCATTGCCAACAAAGAGTATATAACAAAGTATTGAGATGAAATTTTGTAATTGACCAAATACTTATTTTCCACCATAATTTGCAAATAAATTATTTAAAAATCCTACAATGTGATTTTCTGGAATTTATTTTCTCATTTTGTCTCTCATAGTTGAGGTATACCAATGATGAAAATTACAGGCCTCTCTCATCTTTTTAAGTGGGAGAACTTGCACAATTGGTGGCTGAATAAATACTTTTTTTCCCCACTGTATAAACTGCTGCCCAGCACACAGAGCACACACAAACTTTGTGGTGTCCAGGGACTTAGAGTGGCGGCCGATGCTGTGAGGGATAGAAACACTGACTATTAGAGATAGAATTGGGATTTATTGTTCAAAAGTGCGGTCACATGACTGAAATATTGCAGGCAAAAAAGGTCCAGTCTACTGCCAATAGGGTCTTAGATTTTGTCAAGATTTTTCTGAAGAAAGATAAACATGTATAGTGATGAAAGCCAAAATATTAAATGTTTAAAGAGGGGGGTCAAAATGGCAATTTTCACCTGAGATTCGGAGCCAAATTACAGTAGTGTAAAAATGACTTCAGAAAGATGGCATCATCATCATGTTATTTTCACACAGAGATTGTTAGTAAATCTGTTGACTTTAACCATCTTTGTTGCAGTATATGCCAGTTGTGAACATTGAAAAAATGGGAAGAAGCATTTTTAACGTTTTTTTATCTCCAAAGTTTGCAAGCCTATAACTCGGGAAGTATTAAAGATATCTTAAAGCTCTTTTAGATTTCGGGTCTTTACCATCGTTCCCTTTTGGCATCTTCATTTTTAGGCCCTATATGATTCAGTTCCAGAGATACTGGGATCTAAACATGGCTCCAGGAGTAAATTGTACACATTTTCAGTAGTCAAAAACCTAATGTGGGTCACTTTGCATTCAGCTGATACTTTGTTTCTTTTAAAAAGGAAGGTCTAAAGAACAAATAATGTTGAAAGTAGAAATGTATCTTGTTTTCCTCTATCAAAACAGTTAAATGTGACCCACTGCAGCAAGCAGGACAGTCCTGCACTCACGTGTTCTTGCAGCGGTCACACTGATACTGGAACTTGTAGTTGATGTCGTAACTGTGGCAGCGGGAAATCATCGGTAGCTCAGGATGAGCCAGCATCGCTTTACGAGCATAAAGCCTCCAGAACGGCCCGTGCCCGTCATCAACATTGTTTATTAGCCATGTGGCAGCATGACACATTTCATGGACTAATGTATCCCGTAACCGATCTGTAATTGGAAACACATTGCGTTTATCACCAAGTGTCGAGAGCGGTTGAGAATTTTAAATCTGTAATGACAAGTACCTGCAGAGTCGCAAACTTTGACAGACAGCTCGATGCGGGCATATCGTTCCCCAGAGCCGCACTCCTGGCCTGAGATGCAATATCCTGCTGTCTTGCGCATCTTCTTGTTCCATGAGACAGACATGTCAGCGGGAAGCTGAGGGGTTGGAATTGATATTGAAACGATTTAAAGTGGAAGTGAAATGTGTTTTTGGCACTGATAATGCCCAAATGTATTCGAAACCCAGCTTTACCTAAAATCAGATTTAAACAAAGTTGATGACACGTATATTTTTGTAATTTCTATCTAGCCAGAAAGCCACCATGTTGGAGGAACATAGCTGTCTATGTAATTGGGTTGGTTGGCTTTGTGGAAAACTATGGAAGCCCATTTCCTCCACTGAATAGAAAATAATAAAGTTAATTGCGACATTCTATCTTTTGCAATTGCGAGTTTACATCTCGCAATTCTGACTTTCTTCTCTGAAATTGTGCGATATAAACTCATAATTCAGATTTTTTTTCTCTTGCAATGCACGTTTTAAAGTTGAGAATTGCGAGACAGAAACTCACTCAGTTTATACAGTGGGGCAAAAAAGTATTTGGTCAGCCACCAATTGTGCAAGTTCTCCCACTTAAAGATGAGAGAGGCCTGTAATTTTCATCATAGGTATACCTCAACTATGAGAGACAAAATGAGGAAAAAAAATCCAGAAAATCACATTGTAGGATTTTTAAAGAATTAATTGGTAAATTCCTCTGTAAAATAAGTATTTGGTCACCTACAAACAAGCAAGATTTCTGGCTCTCACAGACCTGTAACTTCTTCTTTAAGAGGCTCCTCTGTCCTCCACTCGTTACCTGTATTAATGGCATCTGTTTGAACTTGTTGTCAGTATAAAAGACACCTGTCCACAGCCTCAAACAGTCACACTCCAAACTCCACCATGGCCAAGACCAAAGAGCTGTCAAAGGACACCAGAACCAAAATTGTAGACCTGCACCAGGCTGGGAAGACTGAATCTGCAATAGGTAAGCAGCTTGGTGTGAAGAAATCAACTGTGGGAGCAATTATTAGAAAATGGAAGACATACAAGACCCTACTGTGAAGCATGGGGGTGGAAATATCATGCTTTGGGGCTGTTTTTCTGCAAAGGGACCAGGACGACTGATCTGTGTAAACGAAAGAATGAATGGGGCCATGTATCGTGAGATTTTGAGTGAAAACCTCCTTCCATCAGCAAGGGCATTGAAGATGAAACGTGGCTGGGTCTTTCAGCATGACAATGATCCCAAACACACCGCCCGGGCAATGAAGGAGTGGCTTCGTAAGAAGCATTTTAAGGTCCTGGAGTGGCCTAGCCAGTCTCTAGATCTCAACCCCATAGAAAATCTTTGGAGGGAGTTGAAAATCCGTGTTGCCCAGCGACAGCCCCAAAACATTACTGCTCTAGAGGAGATCTGCATGGAGGAATGGGCCAAAATACCAGCAACAGTGTGTGAAAACCTTGTGAAGACTTACAGAAAACGTTTAACCTCTGTCATTGCCAACAAAGGGTATATAACAAAGTATTGAGATGAAATTTTGTTATTGACCAAATACTTATTTTCCACCATAATTTGCAAATAAATTCTTTAAAAATCCTACAATGTGATTTTCTGGATTTTTTTTTCTCATTTTGTCTCTCATAGTTGAGGTATACCTATGATGAAAATTACAGGCCTCTCTCATCTTTTTAAGTGGGAGAACTTGCACAATTGGTGGCTGACTAAATACTTTTTTTCCCCACTGTATCTACTGGAATACACTGCTAGTTAATAAATAACCAAGCAGGTTTGAGACATCATATTTATTTTGCACTAAAAACAAACATGCTTAAATGTTCCAAATGGGATACCTTCAACTTTAGATTGCAGCTGTTGTAAAACCATGCAGACCGTGAAAGTCTATGGAGCAACACACCTCACTTTTTTCTGTTTGATTTAACAAACTAAGAGATAAGAAATGTTTTTCTGTGGTAGGAAAATATCCAGAACTCATCCAAATAATCAAGTCAGTCATGTTCCTAGAGTTCCTAGGTCTGTGGTTTAGATCAGTCTAGATCAAGCTACAACTTAAAATTATGCTGCAATTTGAATATGAAGTTGGCTATATCCTGTCCATGAATTAGAAACATTACCGGCTGTTGGTACGATTTTGAATTTTTTTTAAAGAAATTCATACTTTTATTAAAAAAGAATGCGTTAAATTGAACAAAAGTGACAGTAAAGACATACGTAATGTTATAGAAGATTTATATTTTAAATAATTGCTGTTCTTTTGAACTTTCTATGCATCAAAGAATCCTGAAAATACATTGATAATAATCATAAATGTTTCTTGAGCAGCAAATCAGCATATTAGAATGATTTCTGAAGATCATGTGACACTGAAGACTGGAGTAATGATGCTGAAAATACAGATTTGCATCACAGGAATAAATTACATTTCACAATATATCCAAGTAGACAACAGTTATTTGAAATTGTAATAATATCTCATAACATTTTCTGTTTTTACTGTATTTTTGAACAAAGAAATACAGTCTTGGTGAGAATAGACTTCTTTCAAAAACATAAAAACTAAAACTCACCAACCCTTTTTACTTAACTGATCATATGGATAATTAGCAATACATTTTTTTTTTTCATTTTTCTTCTGAAATGAAATATGAACATGCAACCAGTGCTTAAAAACTCAAACTGGATGCGGGCACCAAGGCCCATATTAAAACGACTTCCATATCTGTTTTTGACATAGTTTTTCAGTTCCTTCTCTTGTAAACACTGACATAAAATAACCTCGGAGGATTTGTTCAGTGTCGAGACGAGAGAACGCAAGACATCTTGACAGTTTCAGGCTGTGGTTTGGTGTTTCTGCCATCTTCAGTTTAACGTGTCTCTGGTTTGGTAGTCTGCTGTTTTTCAGTGGTACACATACAGCCTGAACATCTCTACAGCTGATAAAAAGCTAAATGAAACAGTTTCTGGTCTGTTTTTGTCACACTAAGTTGTTAATGTTATAGAAGCATCACAAATAATGCAACACGTGTATCACATTCCCCCCCTGCAGTCAAAGTCAGGCCGGGAGAGCCAGTACTTACTTTAAAAGCCTGCCTTTGGTTTTCTTGGATGAATTAAGAGCAGCTGTTTCTCATTGGGCACGTCATTTGCTTGTTTGAAGCGCTCGCTATCAGTTCACCATGAAATCAAACCTTTGTTTTCCTCGTCATTAGAGACACAAATGTTAATTCTCATACAGACAAAAAGGGAACAATATGACTTTTAATAGATTTATGTTGCTATGGTAACATGATCATCATAGCATGGTTACATGAAATTTTGAAGATGTTTTTAATGTGCCATCTGGTCTTAACTCTAAGACGGTGTGAAAAGAGAAATGTCATATTCTTGGCATTGGCAAGTGCTCGCAATGCGATGTCCAACGTTTTTATCCATAATTGGCATGTTATATATAATGCAAAGTTATATGCATCTGAGAAATGTGCTCTGTTTCTTTCATGTAGACTTCATTATTGAAGTAAAACCGTGTCCATAGAACAGCATCAGAGGATCCAAGTGTAAATGTGGGAAAGTCTTTTAGAGTAAGATTCCCTGAGCTCTGTTTTTTTTCTTCTTCTTGAACGCTCATATTAATCTTTATGCTTTACAGTCAACACAGAGGATGGCTTTGGATTGCGGTTATTACATTCTAGATAACAGAAACACTTGCATCATTCATAGTGTATTTGTGTATTTCAGTGTGTTATGAGGCCTCTGTCCATTTGGTTTTACCTTGGAAAAACGTTACATCATAAATGAAGGGAAAGTAAGTCATAAATGAGCTTGCATGGAAATATGCACTTAATAATGTCCAAGTCATAAAGTATAGACTAATTATATATATAGACTAATAGACTAATTATATATAATTCATGTATATTTCAAAGTATGAAATGCATATATTTTATCATTTTATTAATTTTAGGGTCAAGATTTTATAAATGTTTTTGAAAGACGTCTCTTCTGCTCACTGGGGTTGCATTTATTTGATCAAAAATACAATAAAAACAGTAATATTGTGAAATATTATTATAATTTAAAATAACTGTTTTGTATTTGAATAAGTTTTCAAATGTAATTTATTCCTGTGATGCAAAGCTGAATTTTCAGCTTCATTACTCCTCATTTAGCATCATTACTCTCATTACATCTTCATTGTGCACCTTCAGAAATCATTCTGATATGCTGAGTTGCTGCTCAAGAAACATTTCTGATCATTATCAATGTTGAAAGCAGTTGTGCTGCTTCATATTTTTTTGTGGAAACAGTGATACATTTTATTTTTCAGGGTTATTTGATTAACAGAGATTTCAAAAGAACAGCATTTATTTGAAATGTAAATCTTTCATAACATTATAAACGTCTTCACTGTCACTTTCGGTCAATTTAATGCATTCTCGCTGAATAAAAGTTTTAATTTCTTTAAAGATAATCTCAGACCCTAAAGTTTCGAAACATTAAAATGTTGTATAGTATGATCTCCCATATTAAATCTGCTCTTCTAACAGACGCTGTACCCTGTGTGTGTGTGTTTAGTTGCGGACAGATGCAGAGAAGCGCTCTCTGGTGGAGAGTGGACTGGCGTGGTACAGCGAGGACAGCAAGTCCTTACGGACAGCTGATGGAGTTTATGACACAGGCAGCCTAAAATCAGAGCCTTCCAGCAAGTGGAGGAAAACTCGGCTACCGGATGGTTCTGCGCAGGACAAGACAGGGAAAGGAGAACTGAAGAAGCCTCAGAGTCTAGGACAACCTGGGAGCTTCAAAAAGAGCCGCAATCCTCCTGTGGGCGTCACCTCTCCCATCACACACACTTCACAAAGTGTGCTAAAAGTTGCAGGTAATGATTTTTTAAATGTTTATTTTGTTGTTATTTTTGTGTTTTATTTAAACATTTATTTTATATGATTTTTTGTTTTGGTATTTTATTTGATATTTTATTTATCTTGTTATTTCTGTTTTATTTTATTTGCAATTTAATTGTTGTATATTGTTTTGTATGTTATATGTCATATTTTATTATTTATTTGTTTGTTTATTTTATGGGGGTATGTGTGCTAATATTTAGGTTTTAGCTTTGACATAAACAGATTGTATATTTGGATTTAAACATATTTTAGACATAAATTCATTAGGGGGACCAGTTCTTGGCAGCAAAACAAAAACTTTTTGTTCTTTAAACATGCATCTTCACTTTGTCATCCAGCATGCAGCTCCAGAAGGATTATATATTAATGGTACTATATCATGAGTTGGAAATGAATCAGTTGGACAAACTTCTACGGTTGTTTATGTTACGGCTGTCATCCATAACCTGCTATAAATGAAGACCATGTGCTATACAGAGTTTGGTTAAGTGTCTCTTCAGCACATATCAAAACGATGACTCTGGTGGAAGCTAATAAAGAACCACATGAAAACTATCGACTTAACTTCGATAGTTCAAAGTTCTATCATCATTTACTCATCCTCATATCAATCCATGTTTAGCTTTTCTATGCAATGAATGAATGCATACAGTGACCAGGGCTACAAGAATAGACAATAACAAACCTTAAAAGGGCCATAAAGGTAGTCCATGTAACTCAGTCTTCTGATGTCATATGATAGATTTCTATGAGATTTAAGTCATTAGCCACAAAAAAGGAGGGGGAATCCTCCTTTTTGCTGCATCTTTCAACCCTCATTAAGTCATGCTGGTTTAGTATTACATGAGGATGCATAAATCAGGGTGAATTATTCCATGAACTCTTCTTCATGATGTTTTTGACTTTCCTCAAGTGCCTGAGCAGATTTCTTGAGAGAGAAGCCTGTCAGGTTTATCTTTTCACCATCTTCCACTGATGCAGTTTACCTGTAGGCAGCCTAACCTTTCTATGCTGGATCCATAGTTTACAATGACATTTAAATGTCAGCGATCCAGTGTACTTAGAAGAAAACCAGCAGCTGTTTGGCACCGTATGGCATTTTACTTTGTCATACCGACGTCCTGTTATTAAAGTACAAATGGCAAAAATATAATCACCAATTTAAGGAATATAAAGCCTAGCCTAGCTGGTTTCTGTTGTTTTTGGGTTGTGTGGCCACTTTGAAGCAAAATTATTCCCTATATATAAAGAAATTGATACTTTGATTCAGCAAGGATGCATTAAATTGATCAAAAGCGACACTAAAGACATTTATTTATTAATGTTACAAAAGATTCTATTTCTATTTCAAATTGATTCTGTTCTTTTGAACTTTCTATTCATCAAAGAAGCCGGGAAAATAAAATGTATCACAGTTTCCACAAAATATTCTGCAGCACGAGTGTTTTCGTTATTGATAATACAATAATAAATGTTTCTTGAGCAGCAAATCAGCGTATTAGAATGATTTCTGAAGATCATGTGACACTGAAGACTGGAGGAATGATGCTGAAAATCCAACTTTGATCACAGGAATAAATTACAATTAACAATATATTGAAAAAGATCCTAGTTATTTTAAATTGTAAAAATATTTCACAATATTACTGTTTTTACTGTATTTTTTGATCAAATAAATGCAGCCTTGGTGAGCCTAGGAAAAGCATTATGTATGTAAAAAAAATGCATACTGAGCACACACTAGCTATACACACTACTGTATATACTGCATAAATCATAAGAGTAAGTATATACTACTGTATGTACTATGTAGTAGTATGTAGCTACTCGACTAAAGTCTGGAAACCATAACGTTTTCGTTATAAACAGTATATCTAACAAATGTGTTTTTAAAAATATTTTGCATGAAAAGTGTGCTTGAGTGATCTCATAATGGCATTTTCAAGTGGAAAAATTGAAATTATATGCAAAAATAAATCATAGATAATAAGCAGGCATGTTTTTCAGGGATTTCCCAGCATGCCACGCTCAGATAATGCTCTCCACTTGATGATAGTTTATCCGTAGGCACTTTGAGAGCTTCTGTTATTAGTGTTCGTTCAGTGATTAAAGCTTCATAGAAACTCATCTATCAGTAATTAGTCCTCCAAACGTCATTAAACCTCATTAGCTGACAAATTCTTGCTTGCTATTTTTGATTGTAGTATGCAGATGTGTGTTGTGTTGACGCACTGCTCGGGTCACGTGTGTGCTGGTGTTTAGATCTTGTGTAGGCCGAGACGCTCTTTATCTTTGAAGTGTCTGTAATTAAATACAGATGCCTGCTTGCCCTCGTCTTCATCAGCGATGACTCACACACTGTAGATTTAGGCCACAGAACCTTAATCATGGCTTCAGTCGGGTCCTCTCCATGATATTTAAAGGTACTAAAATAAATGCAATGGGATATGTCTAAAAACATTTGGTATTTTTCTCACAGGTTGCTTTTCATATTTAATAATAATCAATGGAGTACGAACATCCAAAGGTTTCTGGGTTTTGCTTTCATTTGGATTTGGCTTGTTTAAAACTGTATGTTTTTTAAACATTGTTTTAAAAGATAAATAGTGTTGTTAATGATGACTAAAGCTAAAACTATTACTTTTTTGGTTAACTGAAGTCAGTGTTAGTTTAGTTTGGCACACTGTTATTGTTGTTATTAATATTTTGAATCAGTTTTTATTTTTATAGCCTTTTCATTTGAATTTCAGTAAAAATCTTTAGCAAAAATTGTGTCTTTTTGTCATTTTCGTAGTTATTTCAGTTTTAGTTATTTTAGTATATCAAGTCAAACTAAATACTGAAATAAAGCTGAAATAAAATCAAATATTATATATTAAATATTAAAACATTTGAGACTTGAATGAAAATTTAAAATGTTACCCTGGCAACCAACTGGGGAGAAAAACAAAATTTACTAAAACAAAACTGGAAATAAAAACAAATTAAAGCTAAACAGTAATATAAATCTTTAAAAAGTATAGCAAATTACTAAAATTTAAAAACTAAACGTAAACCAAAAATATATAAATAAATGCTAATTCAAAACTTTAGTAAATACCCAAATAGATTATAAAATATATGAAAATAAAATTTTAACGACAAATAAAACAATACAACATTTTTAATTGAGCAGAAATTTGATAGAGATATTGGTTTGTAAAAAATGGAAAAGATTGTATAGTTTCAGTTGACCTTTATGAATGAAGTAGAGAAGTCTAAATTATATAAAAAGTTATAGATCATATCTCATTTTAAAGGAGTGGATTTTTCTGAACAATACAATGAAAATATTTTTCTGAAATGACAAAAAAATTAAGCTACCTAAAAGTATTCAGTATTTCTGAAGCCAGTGTAGTAGTGTTGTGTAAATCTAAAACTAATATTTCACTCTGCATCTATAAGCGTTGGTGCTCTTGGGTTTAATGCGCATGCACAAACGAGTGGCACTTAATGACTGTTGTCTCTATTCTTTATAGTTTCTAAAGGAGACACTAAGGCAGTTGACAAGGTGAAAATGTCCGTCAAGGCAACGAGTCTCCAGCGTTCCCGCTCCGATGCGGGCCGGGACAACGAGCACCGCAAGCCTCCCTCAGGTCTGGTCAAACCCTCCGCCGGAGCCTCCCTCGGTTACAAGAAACCTCCGACCACCGGAACCGCCACCGTCCTGACAGCAGGAGGCGCCACTATCACCAGCGGCTCGGCCACTGTGGGCAAGACCCCCAAGTCCTCGGGCATCCCCATCAAACCCGTCCCAGGCGGAGGCGGACGCAAAAACAGCCTGGACGCCAGTGGCTCCGAACAGGGTTTCCTGGCGCCCAACGCTCGCGGGAGCATTCAATATCGCAGTCTGCCACGGCCTGCCAAATCCAGCACTATGAGCTTGACTGGACGCCCTTCCTCTCGCCCTGTTAGCGGCAGCATCGACGTCTGTCTCCTCACCCTCAAACCCGTACCGCCTCTGTCCAACACCATGCCCACCAGAGGAAGAGATGGAGGAGGCTTGAAAGCGGCTAGTCGCCCGAGCACCACCGGACCCGTCAACCAAACGGACCGAGAGAAGGAGAAGGAGAGGGCCAAGGCCAAAGCCGACCTGGAGATCAGCTGTCTGAAGGCGGAGAACCAGAGCGACAGCTGTGGAGAGACTGTGGAGAAGATCCACCGAGTGCGGAGGACGAGCACGAGTAAATACCCAGAACTGTGCTCTCCGACCAGCACGCCAAGGTACCACCCTCTGCACAAATACATAGATCAAATCAAATTCACTGCAATCAATTCATGATTTTAGTAAATAAAATTATGGATTTTTTTATTTTATAAATTACTTAAAATATATATTAAATTTTATTTAAATGTATAAAAAATGGCTTTTAATTAAAATGTTATTAAATGTTTGTGTGTGTATACATTATTATTTATATTAATTATATATATTATTTATATATTTATTATTTATTTATATTTATAAATATTATATATACACACACACAGAGTAAATTAATTCTGTGCAATTAATTAAATTAATAATTTTCATTTGCCCATTTTTGTTTTGTGATGATTTTGTTAGTTCTAAATTAATGACTTTTGGCTATTAAATGTCATGCTATTTATTTATTTATTTAAAATACATTTAATTTTTTATTAATCAACTGGTATAAAAGTATATATTTATTTATATTTTTTAAATCTATATTTTTGATCCTCTGTGTTCTATACAGTGTTCTACGTGACTCAATTTTTTTATTTTTTTTTTATAAAATTATTTTATTTGAAAATATCATGCAATGATTGTCATGATTTGTTAAATAGTTAAATATATAAAAAATATATTTTTTACAGCTAATGCTTCTGGTCTCTGGCAATTTAAAAATCATAACAATCCATGATATTTTCAAATAATTAGGGACAACTGGGAAATTTAAGTGACTTAAGTAGCTTTGCGGCACTTTAGAAATGAAATGGGGGGAAATATATCAAATAAAGTGTTTTTTTATTTTTATAAAATAGGCATAGGCAACATTTTTGCAGGAAATATTCTGCAGATGCCCTGTGTGTTTTTATTATGCAAGTTATGCTACTCAATTATTTAAAACCCTTTCTGGAAGCGGACATCAAGAGCCTTTGAGGTTGATTTTATGGTTGGCAGCGTGTTCTTCTTTGGATGCTCTGAAATCCCTTCAGTACTTGTCTACAGAAGGTCTTTGAGTTCATGACGTTACTCAAGATGATGTTGTGGTGTTTGACTCTAACAGGTTGTTGAGCAGTAAGTCTCTAGTTCATCCTCCCAGTCTGGCTCATCTAGACAAGCTCAACTCCAACAGTCTGGACTCCTGTATCACCATCCATGACCTTCCTCCAAAGATCCCTCCCTACTCCAAGCTGCAGGACCTGGCGTGCTCCCGCGTGTCCCCTCGACTCACCCCGAGCCCCGCGCCGGTGCTCCACATCGACTCTCCCAGCTGTTTCTCAGGCCAGACGCTGTCGGTCAGCAGCTCCCCCATCCTCTACCCCAAGATGTCCGGCCTGCACCGCAGCATGGAGTCGCTGCCGCTTCACATGAGCGTCCCCACCAAACCGGATCTGGGAGAGCGGGACGAAGCCAGGAGTACTGGGACGTGGGGCGCAGGCAGCCGGACGTCCATCACTTTGGGCAACAGGTCAGTTTGGGTCTGTTTATTGGTTGTATGATGTTTCACTGAGCAAAATAAAGCAACTCTATCATTTTATATAGAATAATGAATGACTGAACCTGGTAAAACAGAGCAGCATAATTTGTACAATAGGACGCTCACTTAAAGTCCCTATTAAATCAATATTGTGGATTTTAGTTCACATATCTTAGCTTTTTATGGCCAATTTTTATTATAAATTATTGTATTATTTTAATAATTATATTATACTATATTATTATTATTATTATTATTATTATTAAATATGTATTTACATAATAATTCAATTGATACATGTAATTAATAATATATATCTCTTGGACCAATTGTTTATAAACAAATGTATATTTATATAAATGAATAAATTATTATAAAAACTTGAAAAGAAAACGTATTATTATTATATAATATTGATTATATATTAATATCATGTAATTGTTGAATTAATTATGTATTATTATGATTTGTCAGTTAGATGTATATTATTTTATTGTTTAATAAAACTATGTAAATATAAATATATTTATGAAAATATAAAATACACTTATTTTATATAATTTATGTTAATTAATTAAAATAATTAATAATTATACACTGCCGTTCAAAAGTTTGGGATCAGTAAGACTTGTAATGTTTTTAAAGACGTCTCTTCTGCTCATCAAGGCTGCATTTATTTAATCAAAAATACAGAAAAAAAACAGTAATCTTGCAAAATGTTATTACAATATAAAATAATGGTTTCTATTTTAATATACTTAAAAATATAATTTATTTCTGTGATGCAAAGCTGAATTTCCATCAGCCATTACTCCAGTATAAAGTGTCACATGATCCTTCAGAAATCATTCTAATAAGCTGATTTATTATTAGAATTATCAATGTTGGCAACAGTTGTGCTGCCAAATATATTTTTAGGAAACTCAGCTTTGCATCACAGGAATAAATTACATTTGAATGTATATTAAAAAAGAAAAACGTTATTTTACATCGTAAAAATATTTCACAATATTATATTTTTTCCCTGTATTTTTGATCAAATAAATGCAGCCTTGATGAGCAGAAGAAACTCCTTTAACATTAACATTTAAAATTGTTCTGATCCCAAACTTTTGACCGGTAGTGTATATAATTAATTATATAATTGTAATTAACTAACAAATCTCTTGGCCCAATTGTTATTTTATTTATTTTCTTAGTAATAATAATAATATGTAAATGTATCATTGCAATTATTAATGATCAATTATATATTATTGATTTTTTTATATTATATTATATCATATTATATGTATATATATATTACCAAGTTGAATAAAAATATTATTTTGCGTCATTTACCACACTGATATTACTTTATGCACTAAATTTTCCAAAATATTTGCTGTGAGAGAGTCACCCCCTGCTGGCATGAGAGCGACACAGCAAGAGACTGAATGATTAGTTAAACAATCAGATGACCATATTGGACTGGATATCAGTGTAATGTTTGGGGTGAGGTTTTTATACTGTATGTGCTGCTCTCTACCCCTCCCAGTTTACAAACTGATAGGAACACCTTTCCCAAGAAAGAATTAAGGTACATCTATTTGATCTAAAATCAACTAGGACTGAATTGCAATGTAAGATGGTTCTGACCCACATATGTTATGCTTTTTTCCGCAGTCGCTATGGCAGCGGCCAATCAGAGGGAGAAGTGAAGGAACGTCGTCATTCCCACACGATCACGAGCATGACGGATTCGGAGAGCCCACCGCAGCTGCCCTCGCCGACACACGTGACACAGCCCTTCCTGGGAAAAACACCGCCGACCAACGTGGGTGAGTGAAGTCAAACACTTCTCAGGTGTGAGATTTTACAGCAGATGCACATGACTGAGATCAGCCATCTTCAATAATGAAATGACTAGTGGTCGACCGATATGGTTTTTTTGACAGCCGATGCCGATATCTTGGAAAACTGGGTGGCCGATATAAAGCCGATATAATTTAATTTATTTTAATTAATATTTAAGAAATTTGAAATCATTTGAAAATGGATTAAAAATAATTGTGTAAAATAAACATACTTATACTTTAGAAGACTTTTTTCACATTTTTCACAAATAAATATTTAATAAAAATCTAATTGAATAGAAGGTAAACAGTGTAACCAACAGGGCACTCAGTATTCTGGAAAGTTTGTGTGCATTGGGAATCATATAGGCCTATATATTTTTTTTTTGCAAATAAAGCCAAGGTAACACTCATTTTACATACAGCACACAGTGAAAATGAGATGAATATGACAGTGGGCAAATGCATAAAGCGCAGCATAATTTGAAATCACGAGTTTAGTTTGTCGATCGCGTCTCCAGTGAAGCTGAACTCTCCTCCTGTCCGCATTCAATTTGCACGGACCGACCGTCACGCAGAGAACACGCGATCACGCAGCATACAAATGCACACTTCACAAGATCTCAACTAGATTCGACTAAGTCTGCAAGGTTTGTGAAATTAAATGTTCATTAGTCGTTCAAAGATTTGTTTAAATGATATTAATGCATATTTGCTGAATGCTGACGGCAAACGAGAAAGTATTATTATGTTTGCTTTTCTATTACTAATAATATTAAAGCAATCGTTATAATACTTTTTTGTATACATTTTAATTCATTTGTTTAACAGTTCTATCTGATTATTAGATAGAACTGAACGACGACAGCGAACAAGAGGGAGAATGTGAGCACTGTGTGTTAAGGCGCTGCAATCTCAGCGCCGTCAAAATAAAAGTTCCGCCTCAAACACATCGGCCAAACAGAAAAACTTATCGGCCGAGATATATCGGCCAATATTTGGCATTTTTCAAATATCGGCATCGACCAAACAGAAAAACTTATCAGCCGATGCCGAAATTTGAAAAAAAGCCAAATATCGGCCGATAAATCGGCATTGGCGATATATCGGTCGACCACTAGAAATGACGCTCTCTCTCTCTGCAGTGGCACCAATCCCGAGTTCAGGCTCCGGTTCCCAGATCACACGCTCCAACAGCATCCCGGCGAATGACATGGGCTACGAGCTGTACGGCACATCTCCTCTGGGCAGCTCTCTGTCTCTGGCCGACCGACCAAAGAGCATGATGAGATCTGGATCCTTCAGAGAGCCGAGTGAAGACGGTGAGCCATGGAGAATGTTCAGGAACCTGCTCTAACCTAGCCTACTCCTTGATTTGATGCAACATGCTTAAATGCTTTATTTTGCTAGTGTTCAAATGCAGATAACAACTCAGACTAACCATAATGTGTTATCTGTTGCTTTTCATGGAGAGTAGAGAGTTTTAATTTAACTATAACTTTTCTGTCTTTTAGTGTTTTCTGGTTCATGGTTGATGTAGTTTGATCTAATTTTTACTGATAGCTCAATAGCAGTATTGCTTTAGTATTACTTATATACTTTTATAGTATTTATTCATATTTGAATTAGCTTTTATTTTTAGAATTTAGATTTTTTTTTTTTGTTGCAGTTCTAGTTTAGTTTAATATTTTTCATACTTAAACTACGGCTACAATTTATTTTAAGGAGTCCTTGTTACAGTGTAGTTCTACATTTAAGTACTGAGTAATAGTAATTAACTGTCATCTTAAATGTTTCTATTTTTTCCAGTTCATTTTAGTAGTTCAAATTAAAGTTAGTTAGTTGCCAAATAATTATTTAGTTGTTTTTAGGTTTTTCATTGGGTATTTGTATTTCATTTCAGCTTTAATTTCAATTGGTGAAAAAATATTTTAGTCAACAACACTGCTTCATGGCCAAAGAAGATATCTAATACTTGAAAATGAAATGAAACTTAACCTATTTCTTATCGTAATGCACATTCCTTGTCTTATTTTGTATAATTCATCAGTGCATGTTATTCTATTCAGCAGTCAGGTATAGACGGACATCAGTCAAGTCACTACCTGTCTTTTCATGTTAAATATCTTTATTCTTTATTATCTTTATTTCATTTAGAAATAGACCATATTATACAAATAAAATTGGTTGCAAGCAGTTTCTTGTTGACTTCAGTTATAAAGCAATGTGCAGCTATGAAACTATGGCTCTATCCTGTATTTGTGTGTAATTTTGCTCTCTTTCTCTCAGTTCATGGATCTGTGCTGTCTCTGGCCTCAAATGCCTCATCCAACTATTCGTCAGTGAGTAGAAACTGATGTAGCATGTTAAAATTCGGTTGGTTTCTGTATTTGAATGGTTTTTGTATATGATTGACAGTGAATAGAACACAGAATCTTCTACAGTCGGCTCTTTATTTCCTGAAATTTCTCTTAACAACCAGCCTTTTTTCTCTGTTTCCTGTCCTTGCTCGCTCTTTCTTGGTCTTTATCACCATTTCTCTATCATGCACTCTAAGACTGAAGAGAGAATGCAAGGAGAGGTAAGAATTTTCTCATGACAGCTTGTCAGCTTCTCTTTATCCTTTGCTTCCTCTTATATTCTGCTATTGCTCAAGAAAAAGCAAAACATTCATATTCACTTTTGATAGCAACTCATTCTGCACGATAAATGGCACCTGAACAACCAACTATAGTTATTTTTTATGTGACATCATTGCTACTCTAATTGCATTATAGTTAAATGTTAAACCAATTGCTGACCTGTGTTTTTAACATACCTTGGATTTTTAATGTTTCTAACTCATTCTACCATCTCAGCAAATCCGGATACTGAGGCGTGAGCTGGAGTCATCTCACGATAAAGTGACCAATCTGACCAACCAACTCTCAGCAAATGTACGTGCAAAACACCACTGCATATTCACAACTGCAGATTTAAAATAGTTATTTTATTGGTATTATTTTAGAGTGATGCATTTCATAATTGCATATTATATATATTTATTAATCACATTTCATCATTTTATTTTGTTATTTTGATTGTTTTGATTTAATATTTGTTATTTAATTGTATGTCATACAAATTGCATGTTTGTGTCATAGTAGCTTTAAGCAAAAGTCTTCATACTTAAAAGTCCATAATATGTTGTCAGAGACACACACGGTCACGTCTATGCCGTCGCCAGCATTCTGACACTTTTCTCAACTTTTCAGTCATCATTGCTTTTTTCCCAGGATTATTAATTCAATAATGAGTGTTGCCATGTAATGTTGATTATTGTAATTTACAATATTTCTAGTGTTTTAAATCCAGATCACTTCTCACTGCAAGTTCCCACTAACCCCAGCTGCCTTCAGCTCACCCTGCACTGATTTGCTGCTTCAACACAGCTGGCTTCAGCAATACACTCGCACACTGTGATGACTGTCGAGTCTGGATGGGATTAGATTTCCCAGAGGAGTTTGTGTGATTTGGACAGTATTAAAGGGCACCTATTATGTAAAATTCACTTTTGCGTGTTGTTTGAAAAAAAATGTGTGTTGGCAGTGTGTGTATAGTACACAACCACCCTATAATGATAAAAATCCACCCGCTCCTGTTTTTCAATCCCCATAAATTATAAGCAGTGTCTCTGTTTGCAGAATCCGTAAAATCTGATGTCACATTTTACAGGCCCCGCCCACAGCTGTTCACTGACACTGCCGTATTAGCAGTGAGCCGCACACAATCCACCATGTTTATCTCCACACTAGAGCATTTAAAAGCAGCCTTCAAATAAGAAAAATGTCTTGTTATTAAAGCTACAGAAGTTATTCAATCAAGAGCAGTGAGTGATTTTCTGCTTTTATTTTATTGTTTGGGTCATATTATCAGCATAGACGGCAGTATCTAATATAAACATACAATTTCTCTCCCAGCTGTTTATGTTCACATACATAGCCGACTGTGTTTTTGTAACGTATGTGTGTTTTTAACATAAACTTGTATGTATTTGACAGTTTAAGTGCAATAAGACATGAAAGAGAACTTAGTTTAGCACTCACATGCCGTGTGACAGACGCTTTCTGTGCGTGTGCTTTGGATGTGTGTGCTTAGAAAACACTATATCAGAAGTTTAAACTAATGCGGCTTTAAAACGCATGATTTCAGCATGATAGACATGATAATCAAAACCAAACAGATGTTTTTTGGCAGAGTATCTGAGACGAGCTGTAAAGGTACAGCCCTATTCTGAAAAAGGGGGCGGGGAGAACAAAAACAGTGTGTTTCTGCTTCCACTCAAAATAGGCATTTTCAGAATGATACTGTATAATAAATGATCTGTGGGGTGTTTTTAGCTGGAACTTCAGACACATTCTGGGGACACCTGAGACTTTGATTACATCTTGTAAAAAGGAGCATAATAGGTGCCCTTTAAAATAATTCTATAAAACACAATTTTACCTAATCACCTCAGGGAAAAGTATTCCTGTCTGATTAGGGATATACAGTACAGTGTGTTTTATATGGGTGGAAACAAAAGTGCCCTCATAATCATCTCCAGAGGGGCTTTAATGAAACATTTTAATTTCTGATGCTGATCCCAGTGCATATATGAATGTGTGTGTGTGTATGGAATGGAGGGTTGTGGCCCTATAGTCCTAACAGCACTGTCCCTCTCTCCCTGGCTGATGCCCTGTCCCTGGCCTCTGATGACTGACTGATGCCTGGGGTTGCTGGCTGTTGCAGGCAGGCCAGGTTTGTTGGACTGTCACTCGCAGCCCCGTCCGTCGCTGTTGCATGTGTCCCCCCGCCCTCAGTGTGGCGCTGACTGATGATGTGGAGTGGAAGTCATTTATGTTTGCTCTGTGGCTTTCAGGTGTCATCTGGCTGGGTGTTGATGATGTCATAGAGTTGATGTTGGGTGCTGTATGAGAGAGCCACAACTGCAAACACTGACATAGTTGTGAATGTGCACTAATTGCGGATTGCTTTTTTATCTGAACAAACCCTTAGCCCAAATTACTTAATTCTGTGTGTAACTTGTATCGCAAAATTTGTGCTATGCCCTGGAAACCACCCAAAACAACTTAGCAACTACCCAAAACATCCTTGAAACACTTGCAATCCCATAGCAACCACCCTAGCAACTCCTTAACAACCACCAAGAACTCCCTAACAACCATGTAACAACAGCCATAGCAGCCAATCCAATCTGAACTGCATAGGAACATGATAAAAACACTTTAGCAAATGCATAGCAACACTACTGTATCAACTACTGAGAATACCTACGCAACACCCTAGCAACCTCCCAAAGCCATTGAAATATCATAGCAACCACCTTAGTAACTACCTAGCAACCACCCAAAACATATTTGGAACCACTTAGCAATCGCAAAGAAACCTGCTGGAATCATCCACAACATCCTAACAACCACTTAGCAACCACTGAGCTGGCAGTAAACACATAGCCCTAGTAACCACATAGCAATGCCTTGGCAACTATCCATAACACCCTAACAACCACTTAGAACACCCTAGAAACTCCATGGCAAATCCAATGTACTGATAAACACTGAGAACACCTTAGCAATCACATATAAATGCCCTAGCAACCAATCAGAACACCCTAGCAGCTGCATAGTAATGTTATAAAAAAACATTCAGAACACTTTAGCAAATGCATAGGAAAACACTAATGCATTAGAAACCACATTACAATGACCTGGCAACCATCCATCACACCCTAGCAAATGCATAACAAACCTTTAGCAACCATTTAGCACCATTCTGCAACAACTGCCTAGCAACACACTAATAATCACTCTATAAAAACTTTAGCAACCACATAGAAACACCCTGACAAGCACTGAGAACAGAAACCACCTAGCAACACACCAATAATCATTCAGATCACCTTAGCAACCACATAGAAAAACCCTGACAACCACTGAGAATTCAGGTACACCTTTGGAAACCACCTAGCAACACACCAGTAACCGCTTAGAACACCTTAGCAACCAAATAAAAACACCCTGGCAACCACCTAGCAACACGCAAATAACCACTCAGGACACCTTAGCAACCACATAGAAACACTCTGGCAACCACCCACAGCAGCCTAGCGTCACGGTGGCGTTTTTCTTCAGGGAATGTGTGTGTAGTTGCGTATGTGATGCACTAGCATGCTCTGCTGGAGTCACAATGAGTAGCATGATGGATATTGTATTTTTGATCAGGTTTATTCCATCATCTCTCTTTCACACACACTCTCTCCAGTAGCGTGTGTGTCGTCACATGGCAACTTCATGGTTTTGTCCTTTCCAGCCTGCAGGTCGTCCTCTGTTCACCCTCCATTCATCCATCCATCCATCCATTTCCACAGCTGTTCTCGATTCCCGTCCTTTCCCGTCGTTCTTTCCCAGTCCAGATGGAGACACACATGAGAGTGTGTGTGTGTGTGTATGATCAGTAGTCTATGTCAGACACTAACCTGCACCTATCTCTGTGTCTGCAGGCTAACCTGGTGGCGGCGTTTGAGCAGAGTCTGGCCCTCATGACGGCGCGCCTGCAGAGTCTGTCAGTCACTTCTGAGCAGAAGGTCAGTGTACAGAAACAACATGCTGCAGATTTACATGTGTTAGATTTGACATTGTATTTGTGCATTTGCCTACTATATAAAAACTATTATTGAAATCATGACATTTAAAATATGTGTGTACAGTTTGTATGTATTTATGTGTGTGTGTATATATATATATACATATACATATACATATGCATATACATGCATGCACACACACATGTATATATGTGTGTGTGTACAGTATATTTACACATACATGTATAAAACAAATAAATACAATTATATAAAAAAAATAAAATTTATGTATAAATATAATAGAATTTAATGTATACAAAAATATTTTCAACATGAATAATCATCAGAAATGTTTCTTGAGCAAATCAGCATATCTGAAGGATTTCTGAAGGATCATGTGACACTGAAGACTGGAGTAATGCTGAAAATTCAGCTTTGATCACAGCAATAAATTAAATTTTACAAAATATTCAAATGCAAATCAGTTATTTTACATTTCATTCTTCTGGCTTCTTTCAAAAACTGGTTATATACGCAAATTGACTTATTAGAATTTTAAATACTAAACAGTTTCATCCGTGAAGTAATGTGAACACTGTAAGTTTGGTTTCTGTGTACTTTCATCAGTAGTAAGTCACAGGGATGCACAAAACACACGAATGGCACCATTTCATTAAAACTGACACCAAAAACAGCCAGAAACTTGTGTTAGGTTTTAACAATGAAGTTTCATGGTATGTTTGTGAAGAGTTTTCTTTTCAACAGTGGAATCAGATATGTTCATGTTTTAACATTCGGTTATGTCTTCGGCTTATCATTTCAGGATTCTGAGCTACAGGACATGAGGGAAACCATAGAAGTCCTAAAGGTCAAGAACACAGAAGCCCAGTCCATCATTCAAGGGGCCCTCAGTGTCCCCGAAACCACACCCAAAGGTTTTTTTTAATATGTACATTTATTCCTTTTTGTGCATAAGGCTTTCTTCGTGGTTTTTTAGACTTGATGGAAGTGCGTGCTAAATAAACACTGATTTATCCCTCAGAGCTGCAGATCGACCGGCAGAACTCGTCAGAGAGCATCTCCAGTCTGAACAGCATCACCAGTCACTCCAGCGCCGGCAGCCTGAAGGAACAGGAGGCCAAGAAGAAGAAGAAGAAGAGCTGGGTGAGGATGGGAACAGTTTTAGATGGTTTAATCTCGGGTTCAGGCTGGTCCAGGCTGCTCGTTTAGCTGATCTAATATGTGTAATGTAGATGGTCTGTTTCAGTGTTGTGATTAAGTATGACTGTGATCTCTTCCCTACGCTTCCCTGCTCCCTATTTCACAGGTCTATGAGGTGAGCCCATCCACATCCATAACAATCACAGCATACTTGAAACTTCTGAAGAAACAATCGATATCTTCTTTGCCATTATATTATGTGGTCTCAGCAAATTAAAATTGTACAGTATAGTCTGAAATGGATGCTTTCAGCTTTAGAAGCTGATGTATTTCAAGGATGAATTTGTGTTTTAGTAGTATGCAATGCAATATACTGTACAATATATTAATAGACATATTGACTGAAAAATTCATGTAACACATGATGTTCCAGTTGTCCTATTACTCTCCATCATTTCATGCATGCTTTAACTGTTTGATATGTGCTTTGTGATTAATACTGTCATAACTAATGCCTGAGATAAGCATTATATTATGAAACTTTACAGGGTGAGCACCATATTTAATTTAACGTGTTAATGAACTATTTTTGATATTCTATTATAGTATTTCTTCATTTTTGAATTAGCATTTGTTGTTATATTTTTCAGTTAATTTAATTTATAATTAATTTCTTATTTTGTTTTATTTGAGTAATTTTGTTATGTGCCTTTCTCATTTTTATTAGTTGTTGGGGTTTTTATATTTCTATATAGCTTTAATTTATTATTATTTCAGTGTTATTTTTAGGGTTTTAATACTTCAGCGAATTCAGTTTCTTTCAGTTAACTGCCAAAGCAACATGTCCAATTTTATTTGAAGTTTAAATTTCATTTAATGTTTATATTTTATTTTATATTTCATATATTATACATTATAATTCGTTACATTGTACTACCAATGCTAATTGAATGCTTTGCTTGAAAATTATGAAGCTTGCTGGATCATTTTAGCTACGATTCATTATTAAGATGTGCCATCAAATCATACTGTGTATGCCTCCACTGTGATTGTGTTTTGCTGTTTGCTGCCATTATGAATCCAAGCCATCTATACTAACACTGTGAATTCATACTTGTTTGTAAGACTCTCAATATGAAGTAGTCTTTAGTTGAGCGTTGACCCTCATTTCTGCTCTACATATAGCTGAGGAGCTCCTTCAACAAGGCCTTCAGTAAAAAGGGATCCAAAGCACCATACGCAGATATAGAGGAGATCGCAACGCCGGTCACATCCGCCCCGTCTTCACCCCAAATCCAACATCATGTGGATAACGCCTCTGCAAAGGCCTCGACTTCAACATCGGGGTAGGAAATGCAATTGTTTATGTTCTTCACAAGATGATTTGAATTATTCAGCGTCCACCTTTCATGGTTGTATGTTTGATGTTGGTATTTACGGCAGATCGTGCGAGGGCCGTGAGGACACTGAGAACGAAGAGAAAGGGGTGTCAGAGTTACGCTCGGAACTGTGGGAGAAAGAGCGCAAGCTGACGGACATCCGTTTGGAGGCGCTGAGCTCCGCCCATCAGCTGGAGCAGCTGCAGGAGGCCATGACCAACATGCAGGTGTGTGTGTGTGTTTGAGAGACACTGTACAGGTGAATACAAATTCATGAGCCGGCTTATATTTGACTGTAAAACTGATTTCACACCTCAGATTTTGATTGGTCATCTACAATTTTGTGAAATTGCTTTTGGCTGCAAATAAAAATATGTCAAATTAAATTAACTAAATAATAATAATAATAATTTTAAATTATAATTAATATATTTAAATGTATTATTATTGTTATTATTATTATATTGGTGTACTGGTTAGTTATTAATAATACAAAAAAAATAATAATTGCAAGTGATATATTTAAATTTATTATTATATTAATATGTACAATTTAATTAATAATAACAGTAATCAAAACATTTTTTAATTCTTCTGTATGTGTTTAAAATTATTACTTCTGTTATTGTTATTATTTAGGTGTACTGGTTAGTTATTAATAATATAAATAATACTTTTAAACAATTGTAATTATAATAAAATAAAATGTGCACAATTAAATTAATAATAACAATCATTTTAAATTATACAGTATATATTTAAAATAAGAATTATTTTTTATTGTTATATCGGTGTTATATAGGTGTTAGTTATTAACAAAACAAATAATTTTACATTTATTGTTATTGTATTATTGTTGTTGTTGTTATCTAAATATGTATAATTTATTTAATACTTATCATTTTAAAATATTTAAAATTATATGATATATATATATATATATATATATATATATATATATATATATATATATATATATATATATATAAATTATTATTATTATTATTTAGGCACACTGGTTAATAATTATAATGAAATTGACATTAAATGTGTAATGCTTGGGTTTCTTCATTTAAATCCCTTAACAAATGCATTGACAGATGACGGTGGAAAACCTGAAGGCGGAGAATGACCAGCTGAAGACGAGTGGCCCCTCCTCCAGACCGCCGAGCTCCACCTCCCAGTCCTCTGGACTCGGTTCATTGGTCGTCTCATCACCACGGCAATCGGTGTCGTCTTTCGGCAAAACCGGCATGGGACAAAATGAGCCTTACCCAGGTCACACATTTACACACAGAGATTTCATGCATAAAATGTGGTGTTCTCACATCCAAACGCTCTTGAATTCTACACTTTCTCACTGTAGTTTCTGTTCGTCTCTCACAGATGTCTTTCAAAGCCCCACCACGACATTGCAGAAGGACCAAAGTCTCGTCAGAGTGTTGGTTCGCATACCCAATCAGCATCTATTCAAAGACGTGAGTCCTTTACACCACAATCTTCGTCCTGATGAGTCAGCTGATCAAACGGATAGTTCTGATTCTAAACTCTGACTTGTATTATTTTTATTCAGTATATTATATATTATATATATTAGCCTATTTATAAATATTTTGAATTAGCTTTTATTTTTATGTTTTACATATATTACATTTACATATTATACTCCAACTTAAACTTATTTTATTTCAGTTACTCGTCAAGACTGTGTTTTTCAAGGGGTCATATGATGCGATTTCAAGTTTTCCTTTCTCTTTGGAGTGTTACAAGCTGATTGTGCATAGATAAGATCCCTGAAGTTGCAAAGACTAAAGTCTCAAAACCAAAGAGATATTCTTTATCAAAGTTAAGACTCTGCCACACCCCCCTAAAAC